CCATGCTTCCCAGTGATGGCAAGGCAGTGCAGGCGCTGGAAGAGCCCAGAGTCTCCAGCCTGGCTGACCACCACTGTATCAGTCAGGGTTCTCCAGAGACGTGGAACCAATCGGAGGCTTGTGTGTACCTTTCTATAAATACATAAAGAAATTATTTCTTTATAAAGAAAAGAAATTCATTTTAAGGAAATAGCTCACATCATGTAGGGACTGGCAATTCCAAAATCTGTAGGGCAGGCCTACTGGCTGGAAAGTCAGGCAGGAGTTGATGCTATAGTCTTGAGACAGAATTTCTTCTCCGGGAAAATAGTATTCGCTCTTAAGGCCTTCAACTGATTGGATGAGGCCCACCCATATTATCAGAAGTAATCTCTTTATTTCAAGTCAACTGATTGTAGATGTTAACCACATCTACAAAATACCTGCACAGCAACACCTAGATTAGTAATTAATTATATTACTGGATGCAATAGCCTGGCCTAGTGGACATATGAAACTAATCATCACAACCACTGACCCACTACCCCAAAGATGGGAGAGATCCTGGGCCCTGCTACTGGAGATGCTAATTCATCAGGTCGGAAGGGGCCTGGGAATTTTTACAAGATATACAGGCGATTCTCATGCTTATCCAGGACTGGGAACCAGTGGACCAGATGACCCCTAGACTGTGGGCCTATTCATCACAAATGAGACGCCTTGGCCTGGCATGCAGTTGGTGCCAGGAAACACTGATCTCTCTGTCCTGTCAGGCCGAGACATCCAGGCTTGGGCAGCTGAGTCCATGGCAGCGTAACGTCTCACAGTCCATAGCAATAAGTCCCGTGGGAGGGTTGGGGCCTAGTCTAATAACTGAAATGGTAGGTCTGGGCTGCTTCAGCAAATGCTGGCCTCTTCTCTCTGTGCTGAGCACCCCTCTGGCCTCTAAGAACAGGCCCAGTGTAAGTGTGTGGGGGGAGCAGCTCTGCATGGTACCTGTTTTGCAAGGCAGGGCTCTGAAGCTGGGGAAGGGACAGAAAGGGCGAGGAGTGGGAATGTGCCTGAGATGATCCCATGCTCCGGAGAATCTGAGGGTGAGGATACAGATGGGGGAAGGGCGGGGATACACTTTCATCAGTCAGGCAGGTTGGACAAGAAAACCTGAAACAGGGTCCAGCAAAGGCAGTTCATGGCCAGCCCAAGGAGTGTACAGAAGGGCCCAGACATGTGTGATGTCCTGTCTCTGAGCCCTCCTCTCTGTATCCCGCCACCCCTCAGCATGGATAAGCCTGTTTGTTGCCTGGTGGAAAGACCTTTGGGGTGACTGGGGGAGGCAATAAAAGGGTGCAGAACTTAACTCTGGAGTAATAAGAGGCCTGGGACTGAATCCTGCCTCTGTCGTTTACCTTCTGGGTGCCTGTCCAAGCCTCAGGTTTCTCACTTGAAAAATGGGACAATGCATGACTTCACAGATTGTCATTGGAATAGATGAGTTCACGTAGGAAGAGAGCCTCGGCAGCTTGGGCTTTCAGCAAATGGCCATTCCCTTCTTCTTGGAGGAGCTCCAAGTTGTAAGATATTTTATGTCCCTTATTGTGTAGGATTTGTGCAGAGTTCCCCACCCTTGGTCACGCAGTCAGGTAGATGAAGTGGAGATGCTAGCTCATTCCTCCGGTGCCTCGCATCTCTATCAAGATCCCCCACCATGCGCATTCAACAGGGCGCAGAGGAGCAGTAGACTTCCCAGGGCTCTGCAGGCTCCCCAGTCATAGTAAGCCAGCCACAGGGCAGATGGTCCCCGGAAGAGGCTGAGGGAGCAAGACTGGACGTGCGTGCGAGCGAGGGCTTCTGTGTGGACACCGCCCCCAGAGGCTGTGCGCGCCTGGAGGAAAGGGCCCGGGGCGGGGAGCCTGCTCGGCCTCAAGATGATTTGTCATTGCCTAATGAGATTAATGAGCCCAGGGGCTGGTATGCGGGGAGCTGGGACACTCATTAGAAGCAGATGCTCATGGGAATGGTGGCAAGTGGGGGCCTGGGGGTGGAGTGTCGTTCACCAGCCAGGTGGTTTCCATTAATCTGTGGGAGGGGCCAAGGGGGCTCTGTCCCTCCTCCCCTTCCCATCCCCCCCGACACTGGGGAGGAATGCGGCCGAGAGGCTGCCCTAGGCTCTGGCGCAGCTGAAGGCTGGGAAGGGAGGCTGATGGGTACCGGGACAGACCCTCTTGCTTGCTGTTGTAGCCCCAATGCCTGGCACAGGGTATGTGTTCAATAAATCCCTATTGGATGATATCAGAGATGAGAGAGGCTGGGGGTCTAGGACAACCTTGGATTTAGTCCTGACAACCAGAATCTCTCCCTTTTCTCCCCCCCAGACAACCTCTATAAGTGGGGGGGTGTCCTTGCCCCCTTCTCAGCCAGCCCCCGCTTTCTAATGAACTTTGGAAGTCATGGAGGGCCCAAAGAAAGCTGCTCTGTGGCCTCCAAACCTATAATTTGGTTTTCAAACCCACAAGCAGGGAGGTCTACTTGGGCCAGAGGGAGCCAACTTTGTGTAGCCCCACCCTGTCCAAATGTGGTGCACACACACAGACAGACACATGCATACACACTGTTATACAAACTCACACACTCACTCTCTTAACAGCTTTAGTGGGATGTAATTTATATACCATAAAGTTCACCCATTTAAAGCAGACAATCCAATAGTTTTTAGTATATTTACACAGTTGTGCAATCATCATCATAATCTAATTTTAGAATATTTTCATCATCCTCAAACCTTGAATCATTAGCAGTCACTCCTCAATCCTCCACCCCCTCTTTCCCAGGCCTGAGCAACTACGCATATACTTTCTGTGTCTATAGAGTTGCCTATTTTGGACATTGCATGTAAATGGGATTACGCGGTCTTTTGCAACTGGAGTCTTTCACTTAGCATAACGTTTTCAAGGTTTATACATATTACATATTATATGTATATGTTATATACATATTATAACATGTATCAGTACTTCATTCCTTTGTATCTCCTAATAATGTTCCTTGTATAAATATAGCACATTTGTTTATTCATTTATCAGTTGATGGACAGGGTTTTTCCTCTTTTTGGCTTATTGTGAATAATGCTGCAGTCACTGTTCCTGTGTAGGTTTTCGTGTGGACGTATGTTCACTTCCTTGGATATATATCTAGGAGTAGAATTGCTGAGTCACATGGTAACTCTAACTGCCGAACTGTTTTCCAAAGTGGCTGCATCATTTACTCTCCCATCAGTAATGTATAAGTGTTCCAATCTCGCCACATCCTTGTTAGCACTTGCGATTGTCCTTTTTGTTGTAGTCATCCTAGTGCATATGAAGTAGTATCTCATTGTGGTTTTGATTTTCATTTCCTTAATGACTCATGGTGTTGAGCATCTTTACATGCATTAATTGGTCATTTGTGTATCCTCTTTGAAGAAATGTCTTTTGCCCATTTTTTCGTTTGGGTTATTAGTCTTTTTATTACTGAGTTGTAAGAGTTCTCTATATATTCTGGATAATAGTCCCTTATCAGACATACGATTTGTAAAAATTTTTCTCTCATTCCGTGGGTTGTCTTTCACTTTTTTAATGGTGTCCTTGAAAGAGCAAAAGTTTTAAGTTTTTATTGTCCAACATATCAGTCTGCTTTTTTTTTGTCATTTGTGCTTGCACACTCACTCTTACACACTCAGTTGCCTAGCTTCTGTTTTCTCAAGAAGGGTATAGAGTAACGATTTGCTCCCAGATATCCCCCCTCCACCCCAACTTTTGCCAGAAGGAGTCCTTGTCCTCCATATTGGAATAGATACAGGGAGAGTGCTGCCAAGTCAAGGGAGCGGGTCTGGATTGCGCAAGGAGTAGGAAGGAGGGGAGGCTCCATGAATCCGCTACACCTTCTCCAGGTTCCAAGACCACGACTCTGTGGAAGCCTTCCACAACACAGAAACATCTATCTGTGCATCCTCATGACCTCACCAAAGAGATCATGAGGGAATAAGATTAGACAAGCCAGAGCAGGGGTTCGTAACCTGCGTTCCACAAGTCCCTGAAATCATACACACAATATTGGGTGTAGTACATATTTCTGGGACAGAAGTCCATAGTCATCATCAGATTTTCAAAAGGATGTGCTTAGCAAAAAAACTGCAGAGCCATTGACCTATAGGGACCTCACAGGTCCAAAAAAAATACCCAAGTTCCTCCTGCCACTAGAGAGGGCACAGCCCCAGAGCTGCTTCCCCTACCTTAGGGACCAGGAGGCATCAGCTGCTGTGTGTGGGCCTGACTCCACAGGGTTGTCAGAGCTCAGCCCAGCGAGCAGCCCCTGGCTTGTGCCCTTCAGGAGAGGACCCAGGACTTACTGGTTTGGGCCAGCAAGCCAACTCCTGAGGGCACTGAGGGGCTGCCTTGGTCACCCCAGAAGCTACCCTGCAGGCACGAGGCAAGGGGGAAGGAGTGCCAACACTTGGTGGAAGCTCCCCTCTCAGAAGGCCCCCGGCATGGCCTGGCTGCAGGAAATCCAGGGCAGGAAGGGGCTGGGGCTCAGAGGGCCGCCTTGCTCCCATCTGCAGAGCATCAGTGGGGCAGGCGGGGTGGGAGTTCTCGAGGGGGGCCAGGGAGGAAATGAGAATAAACACAAGTGAGCTAGAGGGAAGGGGCGGGGGGCTGCGGCTTCAGCCCCTTGGCAGCCCATGAAGGGAAGTGACACAATGAGGAATGTGTTTCCTTCTGCCTGTCCCCCGCATGGGGGTGGGAGGCAGAGCCCTGAGAATGGCCAGACCCCAACAGGGGCCAGGGGGCATATGCTAGAACAGCATCGGAGGGGGGACTGAGAGGGCGGGGGTCTGAGCAGCAAAACGGAGGGGGTATGAGCAGGAAGGGCCACCCTGGGCAGGCGGGGCACTTATCCAGTCCTCTCCAGTCTCCACTCTGCAGTAGTGTCCTAGGGTCTGCATACTTGCACATTCCCCATGTGTGCCCAGCACTGGGGCACCTCCCAGCATGCCTGGGTATGGAAGCCATCACTCCTCAAGGAAGCTGGCTCCTTCTGGTGGCTTTCTTTTATTTCCCAAGGGGATTCAGGGTTATGGAGGCCAACTGAATTGTTGGTTGGTACGAGAGGGAGCTGAGGCATGAGAACCCCTGGCCATGGGCAGGACTAAGCAGAGTATTTCATTGCACTGCAGATAGTTCTCTCTCTCTCTCTCTCTCTGTCTCTCTGTGTCTGTCTGTCTGTCTGTCTGTCTGTCTCTCTCTCTCTCTCTCTCTCTCTCTCTCCCTGTCCTCTCTTTCTCTCTGACTGTGTGTTTATGTCCCCAGCTGAGACTGTCAGTGAGAAAACAGGCCCCCTGGTAGGATAGCACCTCCCCATCCTGGACACCCATTTCCTCTCCCCCACAGCAGGGAGGCAGCTCAGTTAACCCCCTCCTGCCCATAATCCAGAAATGTCCCTGAAGCTTTGGCAGGCAGGGCCAAGAGGCCCCTGCCTCAGTCTGGGCTAGGGGGGTGGCAGGAGACTCTACCATCTTTTGTCCTGTCTGTGACCTGCCGGAGCTCAGCCCTGAGTTGGTACTTCCCTAGCCACTTTCTCTCAGCACTGTGAGCTCCTAGGAGACCCTGGGGCGGGAGGGGAAGCAAGGACTGAGGGGCCAGGTCAGGTGATTTACAGCCCTGCCCTAGAGTTGGACCCGGGTCAGCATCCACGCAATCATCAATCCATTGCATGACCTATTTCCTCACTTGTCAAATGGAGAGATCTGTAGGATAGCTATAAAAATACCTTCCAACACCCAGACTCAAGAAGATTTTACCTTTGTAGATCAATTTTCAAGACCAGGACACCCATTTCGAAATGATTCTCACAACAGCCCCATGAGATACTTAGGGCAGCTCAGAGGTGGAGCCATGATGGGGGACCAACGCCTCCTGACTCCTCGTCCAGTGATCTCGCCATTCCTTGTTTCCCCATGTTCTGCTTCCTCACCGAGGCCCTTTCATCCAATCTCATGGCATCTACATTCTCCCTAATGTCTTTAAGCCAGTACCCCTTATGTCAGGCAGGAAGGCTGAAGAGTCCTGTTCGTCATCCAGCCTCCTAACCAGTTCTGAGGAGAGCCGGGATTTAGAAGGAAATCAGATCCCAATACTTCTGGTGGCAGTGAGACTACCCAGACCAAGGGGAGCAGTGTTGTCCCGAGAGCGGGAGAGGTGTGAGGGCCTCCCCACTTGCCTCCCACAGGGACCTGAAGAATAATGTCATCAGCACGGTGCAGCCCGGTGCCTTCCTGGGCCTGGGGGAGCTGAAGCGCTTGTGAGTGGCATGTCCTGCCCCCCAAAACCTCCCAGCCCATCCCTTCTCCCTGGAGAAAGTCCCATGGATCCCATGAGCAACCACCCCTCCTACTCACCCCCACTGACCCTTCTTCTCACCCACCCATAGCTGTCCCCACTCCAGCACATTGATTGGAGATATACATTTCAAACCCCAGCCCCATCTCCCTCCTTTTTCACACCCCTCCCCATACAAGCCACAGCCACACTTGTGTGTCCCTCATAAGCTGATCTGTGTGCTACCACATGGCTGACTTGCTGAGGTTGTATGTGTCTCTCTAGAGATCTCTCCAACAATCGGATTGGCTGTATTGCCTCTGAGACCTTCCAAGGCCTCCGTAGGCTTCTTCGACTGTGAGTAAGGGGCGAGGGGAGAGGGAAGGCTCACCCCAGAAGGAGGGTTTGGGAGGAAGAAAGCTGCCCCCAAACCTTACAGGTCTTCACTCAGCCCTCCCTCTTCTGGCACTGGCACTCAGACTGTTCCCTGCCCCCTTGCAGAAACATATCTGGAAACATCTTCTCCAGTCTGCAGCCTGGGGTCTTTGATGAGCTGCCAGCCCTTAAGCTTGTGTGAGTATCTTTCCCCAGCCCACGGACTCCCGCTTCGTTCCTCTACCCAGGAGGGAGACACGTAGGCATCCTGACCACCGTGGCCAGCCTTATGAGTAGGCAGGACAGACAACGGCTGACACTCCACATTTGCCTTCCCGAGATTGCCACGCTGGGGCACACATGCCCAAGTTTGCCCTCTCCCGCCTCAGTCCCTTCCTCGGGTTCCTTCCCTACTCCTTGAGCCTACACTTCTCTGCTCTATTCTGTGGCCACTCTACCCACTCTGCAGGGACTTTGGCACCGAGTTCCTGACTTGCGACTGCCGCCTGCGCTGGCTGCTGTCCTGGGCCCGGAATCACTCCGTGCAGCTGTCCGAGCGCACACTCTGCGCCTACCCCAGTGCCCTACACGCCCAGGCCCTGGGCAGCCTCCAGGAGGCCCAGCTGCGCTGCGGTGAGCAAATCCTCGCCCTGCACTCCTTCCGGGGACCCTGCCTGCCCCTCAGGCCCCAACCTTCCTCCTGAAGGGCCCCAGTGGCTCGAGGCTCCCTTTGCCTGAAGTGTTTCTGAGTGATGGGCATTTCTCCAGGGCATCCTTTCCCCCAGGTCCCATTGGGGTCATCCTCCATCAGCTTTTCTAAACTGCCTTTGGGGATGCTGCTTTATGTTTTCATTTGGTTTCACCTCTTGGGGTGACAGTTGTGCTGTGGAAAGGAGCACTTTTACTTATTTGTCCAAGACCCTCTTGCTGCTCCCCTGTGCTCCTATCTCTGCAGACTTTGTCCTGCCCCCTTTTCCTTCCCTAGGCTCCAGACAGAGGGGGCCTGGCGCTACCCCTACTGTACCCCCCAACACCAGTGCAGGCACACATGCTTTTGCACTCAGGCCCCACTGCTCATGTCTCCTCCCACAGAGGGGGCCCTGGAGCTACATACGCATCACCTCATCCCATCCCTACGCCAAGTAGTGTTCCAGGGTGACCGGCTGCCCTTCCAGTGCTCCGCCAGCTACCTGGGCAACGACACCCGAATCCGCTGGTACCACAACCAGACCCCGGTGGAGGGCGACGAGCAGGCAGGCATCCTCCTGGCCGAAAGCCTCATCCATGACTGCACCTTCATCACCAGGTACAGGCCCTGCTATCCCTTCTCTGTCAGGGCAGGGGGTGAGAGTGGCCAGAGCAACCACTGCCCACCTTCCAAAGGAGCTATGCCCAGACACATTCCTGAGAGTATGTCATCTCTGTAAGAGTATGCATGTGCATGTATGTGTGTTTATGGAAATCCAGGACTAAGTCACAAATAGTCTAGATAAGGGATAGGAATTAAATGCCTGATAGAAAAAAATAATTATATCTGACATTTCTTTAGAGCTTTTACAATCTATGTAGCAGCTCTCACCTATAGTATCAGACTTAATCTCTCCAATGGACTTGCAACAGAGGTATTATTATCTTCATGATAAAGATGAGGAAATTGAAGCTCAGAAAAATGGTGTCATAGGCCAATCAGAATTGAAGGAAGTATGTACCTGTATTCCTCCCTCAGTTAAAGAATGAATAAAGAACCTGAAGCTCATGCCCCACATGCCCTGGAGCAGGGTGCCTGTGGGTGGCCAGGGCAGGGGCGCTTAGGGAGGGTGGTGTGGCCTCGAGAGTGCCTCACCGAGCCAGCCCTCTGCCCCCACCCCCCACCTGCCCACAGCGAGCTGACCCTGTCTCACATCGGTGTGGGGGCCTCAGGCGAATGGGAGTGCTCCGTGTCCACGGTCCAGGGCAACGCCAGCAAGAAGGTGGAGATTGTGGTGCTGGAGACCTCCGCCTCTTACTGCCCTGCCGAGCGCATCGCCAACAACCGTGGGGACTTCAGGTTCGGAGTGCTCTGCTGCCGCAGAGACCCAACCACCATCCCTGACCCAATTGCCCAGACCTCCCCAGCTCCTACATCTGAGATTACAGGTGCCCAGGGTCTCCCCATCTGCCTTAAGATGGAGAACACACTTCCTTTTGTCATTCAGCTCCAAGTCCTGCTGTTGTATTTAGAGATCTTATCTTTTTTTGTATAAAATTATCACCTGAGATGTGCTGAGCAGAACAAAAAAGTTTTTATTTGCTGCCTTATTTAGTAGTTTACATAGCCCTCCCACACAAATGTCGCATTTAATATCCCAATGGCCCCCTCAGTTAGGAAGGACAGATGCCATTCCCCCATTGTACAGCTGAGGTTGCGGAGGCCCAGAAAGGATAAGTGATTTGAATTCAGGACTCAGAGTCCAGTTCCCATAGCACCATGACAGCACTACAGAACAAACAGTTAGAAAAGAAGATGGAGCTTGGGAACCCCGTGAAGCCTGGCCCAAAACCCCTCTTCTGGATCCTTCTGCCAGCTCTCAAGGGGTCTGGCATCACAGTTCTCAGGGCAAGGGAGGGTCCCTTACCCTGAGGAGCTTGGGTCATCCACAGCTTCTGCCTCTGCCCCCCAGGTGGCCTCGAACTCTGGCTGGCATCACAGCCTACCAGTCCTGCCTTCAGTACCCTTTTACCTCTGTGCCGCTGAGCGGGGGTGCCCCGGGCACCCGGGCCTCCCGCCGCTGTGACCGAGCTGGCCGCTGGGAGCCAGGGGACTACTCTCACTGTCTGTATACCAACGACATCACCCGGGTGCTCTACACCTTCGTGCTGGTGAGGCTAGGACAGCAGAGGGGTGGGGGGCACCCCATCAGCTCTGGTCCTGGGGAATGGGGAAGGAAGAAGCCTCACAGCTGCTGCTCCACTCCTTGAGTGTGCGGTGAGGGGCTCTGGTTCTTCTCCTCCAGCTTTCCTTCTTCCAGGGGATTCAGACCCCAAGGCCACACAAAGGAAGTATGGGCAAGCATCTTTATCCCCGAACATAGCAACAGCAGTCTTAAGGGGGAAAACAAGGACAGTGGGAGGTCATCCCATTATCCTTGGGCCAGTGGTGAAAAAATTTGTGAGGCCTTGAGTTATGATGAGCCTCATATGATGAGCTTACATGCACCTCTCATCTTGATGAGACCTAGCCAGTATGCTCGACCACTCTCCCTAGGCACTATCGCCCTGAACATCAGCACAGAGGAGGGGTCCCCTGGGGGCAGTTCTGAGGGAGGAGGAGCAGACTGGATGATCCTCTTTCTTCCCTAATACCCCCAGATGCCCATCAATGCCTCCAATGCGCTGACTCTGGCCCACCAGCTGCGAGTATACACGGCCGAGGCCGCCAGCTTCTCAGACATGATGGATGTAGTCTATGTGGCTCAGATGATCCAGAAATTTTTGGGTTATGTTGACCAGATCAAAGAGGTGAGATTCAACTGAGCCTCTGGGACCCCTCAAAACCCTACCCACAAACTCTACCATTTGCTCAACCCTCTCATATCCCAGCCCCTGGGTCCCAAACCCCATTCCTGCCTCAGTGACTCCCCCACCTGCCCCTCCAGCTGGTGGAGGTGATGGTGGACATGGCCAGCAACCTAATGCTGGTAGACGAGCACCTGCTGTGGTTGGCCCAGCGCGAGGACAAGGCCTGCAGCGGCATCATAGGCGCCCTGGAGCGCATTGGGGGGGCCGCCTTGAGCCCTCACGCCCAGCACATCTCTGTGGTAATGTGGGCCAGCTGGGAGGGAACTCCTTGGGGGGCCTGGCACTGGGAGGGACCTTAGAGTCATCCAGGAGGGAAATGCTTCTCTCCCAGGCAACAAGTCCTCCAAGTGTGTACCTGCTCTGTACCCAGCTAGCAGGAACACCAAACTTTTCTAGGTTCCCAGTCCCATGGAACCAAATCCTGAGTCAGGGCATTGCAAAGAGAGGGAGTCCAGTGACACCAGAGAAGTTATGCACGACTTTATGGTGGGGAACCAAGCTGTAGGGGGTCAGCACTTTGATGGAGTTTGGAGAAATGGAGACTTATGTTCCCTGAGAAGAGGAGGATATTTCCAATGGTGGGTCATGAACCAATTAACAACCATGGCAGAGCATCTTCTACGTGCAAAATATTGTGCTGGTCCCTTCGGGAGATACAGGATCTTGGACATGGAACATGCTCTGTGGCTTAGTTGGGGCAGCAGAACTAGTATGTGTTAAGAGGGGAACAAGATACAAGGTGGGGTGTGAATGAGTGGGAGAAAGAGCCTTAGGAGGGAGGAGGAGGTACCATGATCAGGGGCTAGGGAGACTCCATGGCAACCATAAGATTGGCAAGGCCTTGAGAAGACAGTGAGGAGTAAAGGGTAGAGGGACATGGCCTGAGCAGATCTGCAGAAAGTGGCTGTGCAGTCTCAGGCTGGAGAAGGCCAAGAGAGGGCCGACATATCTCAAAGGGTGGGGTGACAAGTTCCCTGTCCCTAGAACTCAAGGAACGTGGCATTGGAGGCCTACCTCATCAAGCCACACAGCTATGTGGGCCTGACCTGCACCGCCTTCCAGAGGAGGGAGGCAGGCACACTGGGTGCCCGGCCCGTGGCACTGGGCCAGGACCCTTCGCCCGAGCCAGAGCCCCTGGCTGATCAACAGCTCCGCTTCCGCTGTACCACTGGGAGGCCCAACATTTCTCTGTCATCCTTCCACATCAAGGTGGGCACTGGGGCAGGGAAGATGCTAAGAGGGGAGGTGCTGAGATGCAGGTGCCTGGTGGAGGTGGACAGTGTGAGAGGAGGCAGAACCCAGAAAAGGGGAGAGGGGAGGCAGGAGGAGGGGGCTGGAAGACATCAGAGTCCTAGTGGATCTGGGTGTTTCTGAGGAACTCCTGTGTCCCCCCAGAACAGCGTGGCCCTGGCCTCCATCCAGTTGCCGCCCAGTCTGTTCTCATCCCTTCCGGCTGCCTTGGCTCTCCCAGTCCCCCCAGACTGCACCCTGCAACTGCTCGTCTTCCGAAATGGCCGCCTCTTCCGCAGCCACGGTAATACCTCGCGCCCTGGAGCCTCGGGACCTGGCAAGAGACGTGGCGTAGCCACCCCTGTCATCTTTGCAGGAACCAGTAAGGGACTTAACTCCCCATACCACCTGGGATCCCTCCCAAGTGTTTGTCTTGTGTCCCTTCATTCTGCCCTTCCCTAACCTACAGTGGCCCCTAACGCCCCCATAGAGGTGGCAGAAGAGGTGGCCCCTCACCATTTCCAAGGGGACGGGGGACAGAGACGTCCAATAAAGAAAGGGATTTGTAGAGAAAAGGCTTGGGAAGACACTGGATTTTATATTCCAGATTTGCCAAATTTCAAAAGGGCCGTAAGCATAAACGCTTGACCTACCTGGGTTCCTCTCCCTCTCACCTTCCTAACCATGTGCCACCTCTTCCTTTCTTCACCTAGGTTTCTGCTCCCTCAGCATTACCTTCTACCTTCTTGTCCCTGACCCCAGCCCTAGAATCCTCTCTGTTGGGGGCGCATCGCCAGCACTCTTGGCACTTAGAGTGGGCTGCCTCCCAGTGCTTTTATTTTGATTCACCCTGGTGTTTCTCCAGTTAGACTGAGGACCTGGCAGGAGCATGTCCTCATTTGGCCCAGCCCACACCTGGCCCAGCAGTGTTCCATGTCTGCTCAGTTGCTGCTGCTTAGTTCCACCCAGTCAGCCTCCCACGACCTGGTTCATGCCTCTGTGGACTTCCCTTCCCCCTGTAGGTGGCTGTGGCGTGGGAAACCTGACGGAGCCAGTGACTGTTTCACTGCGGCATTGGGCTGAGGGGGATGAACCTGTGGCAGCTTGGTGGAGCCAAGAGGGGCCAGGAGGGGCTGGGGGCTGGAGCTCTGAAGGCTGCCAGCTCCGTTCCAGCCAGCCAAACGTCAGCTCTCTGCACTGCCAGCACTTGGGCAATGTGGCCGTGCTCATGGTGAGTGTAGTGGGACCGAGGGGCGGGAAGACCACGGAACAAGGAATATGTGCAAGGTGGAGCAGAGTTCTCTGATCCCTGGGCCCACAGAGAAATACAGAAAATACAGCAGCTTTCTCAAGCCTCATAACTGTCAAGACTCATAGGGAAATGTCCTTCTGGTCTCCCCCTACACCTTTCATCTTTCTGGAGACAGGGAGGTCCTGCCTCCACTCCCGCATTCAAAGAGAGGGATCTGGAACAACCCAGCCTGGTCTTCACATCCTGTGCTCTCTGAGACCAAGATTGTTAAAGTGGGGCGGGGGAATTGGGGAACATTTCTCCTTTCTGGTCACCCTCCTCACTCACCGCCGTCTAGTTCCCCCTCCCTCACTACATTTCACACCCCGCTTTCCCAGATGCTCAGCAGGCATGCAGCTGTATTATAGATAGAAGCTTCCCCCTCTTTCCTCATCTCTGATTTTCAGGCTGGAGACCTGAAAAGACCCTAGAAAGGCGGGCAATAGATTATTAAAACGATCTAGAGCAACTTTCTAAGAGTGGATGTTGTGCTTACATCTTTGTTTATCCAAAAGGACTAAGCTGAGGACCAAAGCTAACCAGGCTTGGGAAGAGGAAACCTGGTGGGGGCGGGGAGGGGCAGGACTCC